ACATATTTTCGGCGTGCGGCGAAATATACGCAATTTACCTGCACTGCGTTGATTTTCGGTCGCTGTTGGGTTGGTGTTCTACCGCTCTGGGATACTCCTTTTGCGGTTTTTTTCTCTGAGCTTTGCAATAACCCTCTTTATGACCTGTTCGACTTTTCGAGATTTTGAAACTTTATTCTGCTTCAATTTTGCACCCGATTCAAACTTCTTATTTCTGGTAGTCTGAGTTTAATTGGCATTTACGCTTTTATTTGGCTGTTCGACCATCACCGTGTCTTTTTTTCAGATTTAGCAAACGGCCTGCCGCACAGTGTATTATTTCCATATTTTAGAAAATATTAATTACATTATTTTATGTCGCCAAATTTCAAAACAACGTCAAAAATGTTTTTAGAAATGCCTGCTAAGGACGAAACAATAACAATTACAAAGTTTAAACCAAAGTGTACGGCGGGACGGGATTCGATTTGGAAGATTACCGAGCGCAGTATTATTTAAAATTGTATATTTGAAACTGAATCTCAATGTTTAATTTGTCGGTGTTATGTGATTTATGCAACAATTGCTAAAATACTATTTTGGCCTTATTTTTTTAGGTATGTTCTTTTTAATGAATATACATTTTTGGGATTTTTGGATTTTAGTAAACTAGGACTGAGTATTTCATGTTAAAGCAAAACGATGTTAATTTAGATTTATTTTTAGCAATTTATTAATTTCATTAGACCCGCAAACTAGTTATCCGCCACTATTCGATAAAGTTTGTATCTCAGTTTATTTACCACTCCTCTTGGACTTTAAACAACACAATTTTAGCTGCTGAAAAGTACAGGTTTTGATGAAATTTTAATTTTTCAGGCCTATTAGGAATTTCATTTTCTTCGAGTAACTTATTTGAATTTCATCTCGGCCGAGACAAATTCTTGTATTTTCGCTTTGAATAGAGAAAGCCTAATACATAACCTTTCCAATAGTATCCCACTTTTGTAAATAGAGCAAGAAATATTGAATTTATAACGGAACTGGAACCAACTTGATTTTTTATCGATATTTTCCATGCACATAATTCACAAAAAAAAAAAATATTTTTGAGTCCATTTTTGTCAGTTTATAATCCATTGTTATAGGGAAATTCTAAATATAAATTTTGGGCATTTTGACCTTTGTAGTTAGATAAATATTTCAGTTTTTGCATTTTTAAAAATTGCAGTTATATAATAGGGTGGCGTGACAGTAACTCTAAATGACCCATTTTTTGTAAAAAGCTTCGCCTATCTTATAACGTACCTTGTGCAAAATTTTATTAATCTATCTTCAATATTTTTCGAATTACAGAATTAAAAGCAGCTAGATGGGTCAAATATTACACTGTGTGCCGTGCTGACTAGCTTACTCAATTTCAGCATAATGCTTGCTTTAACCCAATTACAAAAATTAAGCTCTTAAGATGTCCAGCTGTCATGTCTGCAAGCTTAGAATTTTCACAGCATGCATTTACTCGTGCCGCATATGTTACAATATCTTCTTTTGTCAATTGCAAACATTTGTATCTGAGGCTGAAAATCGACTCCTTCGATGCGAACATTTCCTTCAGGGTTTTCACTGTTTCAGTGAATGATAGGTCTCTTGGGTTTTTGGTAACACGTACGTTGCGTACTTCCCGTATGCTACAGGGTTGAGCTTCCTCATTAATAATCGAACTCGTGCTGGATCATCCAAGTCTTTGCAATCAACGATGAATACATCTTCGTGCCGTGCATACCACACATCGAACGTTAGGTTATTTTGCGGGTCGTAACAGAAATCAACAATACGACTAGCCAAATTTTCCATTAGGCTTCTTCGTGCTTTTGAGGTGTCTTCAGTGAGCATAGCAAGCAATTTGCTTTGAATTTCCAAAAGCTCTTGGATCTTTACGTCCGCCATTGCAATGACTTGCCAATATACACTCGGCTTTTTAACAAAATGGCTGCGTCGAATGATCTCGTCGCAAAACTCGAAATTTTCTTCTTGGTGTAGAATGCCTTGCCAAAAGCCAAAGGTAGTTATTATTTTATTTGCAAGTATCCTTGCAACCTGCACACTCCGAATATTCGTCGCCAATTTCTGACAGAATTAAAGAATGTTCAATTTGTTAAGAAAGTCCAGTTTATTTAATTCTATATAAATAGTAGCGTGCTTTCTAGTAAAGTACGTAAAAATGAAGGTGAAGTAAATAAAGGAAAGTCAAATAAGTATATGGTGATCCGATGTCAGTGCTGCCACACTAGCGGAAGTTGAGTGAGAACATGGTTGCATTCAATAGGTCTGCAATATCCGCAACAGCTTCCATCAAGGTTTCGTTTGGCAGATGCTCCCCTAAGTGTAGGTGGATGGCCAATAGCTCCGCATTTATGTTCCTTTTGGCGTCCAAGTTTTTAAATACACATTGGAGGTAGTTGTTCTAAGCTTTCCTGACAATTTTCTGACTCGCTGCTGTTTTTGATTTCGGTTTCATTTGTGCGTATTTTAATATAATATTCATAGCAATATATTGTTTATTAAACCAAATATTGGCGTTTGTGTTGTTGATCCTCAGTGAACGTCGTTGGTATACAGTCAATAGTAAGTTGGTTTTGGAATAATAAACCTGACCGGTATTAATATTTTTTTTTTGGTTATTGTTGTTTCCGTCAGGGTTGGTGTATGATGTATTTTGGAACGAATTTCCGTCATCCCTTTACAAATTTGGTTTGCAGACAAACCGGTATCGGCGTTCACTGAAGATCAACAACACAATATTTGGTTTAATAAGCCATGTGTTGCTATGAATATTATACCAAAATACGCACAAATGCAACCGAAATCAAAAACAGCAGCGAGAACCGATACAGCTACATAGGACAAACAGGACGAAATATAAAGACAAGGTATTGAGAACACATAAGGGATTATAATAAGAAAATACGAAAACCAGAGGCTACAACAGAATCGAACTTCGCAAATCACATTATCAAAAATAAATGCGCACCAATAGGACAAACAGCAGAGCTTCTCCATGTACAACATAAAGGACATAGATTGAATATATTAGAAAATATAGAAATATATAAACAGACGACCTTCAAAGGACGAATAATAAATGAGCAAATAAATACTGTATCGGACGTATTGTTTGAACCTCTAAAACTACTCTTAAGGATAGACATAATAGGGAATACACTTACTACAAAAACAAAGAAGGTGAAAATCAGCAAAAACAAGCCATAACAATTCATCTACCTATTGAGCATCGCAAATACTGCAAAACTAGGAAGACGTACCTAACAAAAGGAATATAGGTAGTTAATAAGGAGTATAAATACGGGTAACCAACAAAAATTATCCAGAACGAAAAATGACACTGAAGATGGCACAGCGCCGAAACCGGTTTGTCTCCAAACCAAATTTGACAACGGATGACGGAAATTCGTTCCAAAATACATCATACACCAACCCTGTCGGAAACAACAATAACCAAAAAGGAAATAAAAAAACGTTCCCCATGAAACACATCGTCCACTGATGTAAACCGTAGAAAAAATCCGATAGTTTTTTAGTTTATCGTGTTCAGACACAAACAGGCGCTTTAGAGCACATTGTTTTTATTATTATATATAGAAAAAAAAATTGTCAAAACATCAGGGCAGGCACATTTTTTACCCTCATTATATATAAACGGTTAAGAATTCGGCTAAGTAAAACATTTTAATTTCACATCGCCTTGAAAAAAAAACAATTCAAATGTTTCTTGAATATTTCGATTTTAGTCGATCATTTTTTTCTCTCTGTAATAATATTTCTGTTTACCTTCCACAGGCTAAACGAGTTGAAGGCATGTATTTACTGCGAGGCCGAGTAAGCTCTTCGTCAAATCATCAGTATCATTGTTGTTCAGTCTCATAAAAACTATATACGGGTCATCACAAATGACAAAATCTTCCGAATTTATTATTCCTGAACAGCAAACCAAACTTGGTAAGTGGCAAAGCTAAACCAACTGGCAGACGGTAGCTGTTATGACGGAAAGTATGACATTTTTTGCAAGTGTATGTGCGACTGAGTCATTCTCTTCATGTTCTACTATTGACGCAGCAAACTTTGGAATATTTGTCAATAGAATCACAGGATTTAGAATATCTAGCATCGTCAGTAAACAGCACAAATGTAAACAAGGCGATATTGAAATAAGCTATGCTCGTTATAATAAAAACAAAAGAGATTTTTATAAAAATTGCAATTGTTGCTGTGATAACTCAAGGCAGCTTTGGGGTGACACAGCCCAGCCGGTAACTCCACCTGAATTACCTAAAATTGCCGATAGTGATACGTTGCATGAGAAATGCAAGCGGCCAGTTCAACGGCATATTGCGGCCAACAGTTCAAATGTAATACACAATTCTTGTTATTGTCCAACAAATGCAATAAAAGCTAATGTTTTTGGCAGCAATGTTGACCGGACAAAGCAAGCGGACAGCCGTGTTACTGAAACGAAAACATTGCTGCAAACTGATCAAGTTTTGAAATCCTTGACTGCCCCAGCTATAGCTCACAGTAAAACAAAAACATATAGCGGTTTTGACGATAATAGCAGCATAAATAGATTGCACGAGCTAGAGATTTCAAAACGTAGTCATAGAATGATAACACACAGTCACATTTCTGCCGATGAAATGTTTTCAAATGATGATTTTCATCGAATTTGTTCTTTTGCACCTGCTTCAGATAAAGCAATACGCCGAAAAGAAATCAACGCCATAAACCGGGTAGATTTAAGAAAAAATGTCGTGAGCTGTCGTTTTAACAATTTTAGGGGGAGTGGAAGGCTTCACGCTCAAATGTATGGATATTGGATACATTATATCCTCTTAATATTGTTACTGTCACTGTCGCAAGTTCGCTGGACGTACGCTTTACTAGTGGTTGAACCCAAATATGCTGGTCTTGCTGATGATGACTTCATTTCTGATAACGGCAACAACTACCCGTATATTAATGCCAGCATAAGATCGGGCGGAAGCAGTAACCGGATTGGTACAAAATCACCACCAGGTATGATCGGGGTTACTGGAGAAAATTCTGCAACTATTGGCAGTTCATCTTCTGGTGTCACTGGTTACATGGATAAGATGAACAATTTAGAGCGAAATGTTGCGGCTGTTCTTATAAAAGTTGCCTACGGTACAACGTCGACGACTAAACGTAGTATTCCGGATAATAGATACGTAGCCAGTCTGACAACAATCGCCACCCCACTGTTGACGACCCTGCGGTAGGTTGCTTTTTTTTGTTGTTCACTGTACACATAACAGTGTCGCACAAAACATTTGCAACAAAAATAAAATTGTGTAGGAGTTAAGCAGCAGCTAAGCTTTAAGGTAAATTTCTTTAATATCAATAAGAAAAAGCAGATTTAGTGTATAAAACAATGGTGACAGAAAAATACTACATTGCTTTAAAGAAGACGAGACATAAGAAGTCGAGGCAACTGCTTTGCATTGACACGGCATCGACGTAGTTAAATTGTGAATGATTGTAAGTGGTAAGTTTTTCCATTGCGATCTTAATAATGATGATAATCATATTTTGGCGCCTACACTTTTGTTAAGTGTTTAGCCAAACGTCTCCAATTTGTGGTGTGCGTCTTGATATTGTTACGCAAATGGAGGGACCTACACTTTTTCGCCTCCTCCGAATGGCAAAATGTATTTTATGTGAACATTTTTCATAGCAGAAGTATACTCGGAGGTTTGTCATTGCCTGCAGATGGGCGACCGTTTGTAGAAAAACCTTTTTGTAATTTAGACATTGCCCGGATCGAATCCATGCCATAAGGACTGATAGTACGCACCTCTAACCACTCACCAACAGGTCGCCGTTATGATCTTATAGCGTTTTCTTTTCTCGAAATAATGTTGCATTTTTCTGCCTTGCGCCTTGGGTGTCAAGTTTCCGGCTTGTGGCCTCAGCATCTTCACAATAATATTGCGTGCTCTGTCTTTAAAATGTTGCACTCTGATAATGTTGCCATATAAGAAGGTGAAATTTTTTCGAGAAGGAAAACGCCATTAAACTAAATGAAAAATGCCGGTCGATATTTGGTCATAGGTTAAGTCCTGAGGATAGTGAGGGTCAGTGTTGCAATTTTAGCGGTTTCCCCTCTTAATCTAGCAGGTTTTTCTTTAATTTAGCGTTAAAATTTTGAATCTGGTTACTTATTCTGTAACCGCTTAAGCGATTTTGGTCGACAGGAGATACTTCGTTCTGTCCTCGTCTGCTGTCGAAAGCGGCTTTGACATCGATAAATAGATGGTGTTGTGGATCCTATTCCCTCGAGTCTTTGGTGTATTGTGTATTTTGCAAACGTCAAGCTGTGAGGTTGTACTTTATTGTGCTTTGATTTTGGCTTTCTATTTGCTAAGTTTATTGTGCTAATTCTGAGTTAAAGTAGTGATAAAAAGTGCTTATGAGCATCTTAGTGTGAAATAATTGACGCTAAGTGAAAGTTATTGTGTTTTATACTAAACTAAATTTAATTAAATTTCACTAGCATACATTCTAATCTTTGTTCTACTCTTTTTGTTTACTTCTTCTAGTAATTCTTGTCACAGCTGTTTGCGTTGCGTTTATTAAGTGTCATAATTACAGTGATACTCAAACTGTTCGCTACATTTATTTAAAGCTATTTACATCAGCTCCTTAATTGTTATAATTTATTTTGTTTGTCTTTTTATTAACGAATGTTATTACATAAATCTTTCAATATGAAGTGCGATCTTGATACTTGCCAAATTAAAAGCGATTCTGAACGCTACTTATCGTGCTGGCTGTGTGATGGTATTTACCATCTCAAATGTGCTGGTTTGACGGGAAGAAGTCTGGACGCTATTAATGATGGCAAGGGCCTTCGCTGGTCTTGAGTAAAGTGCAGGTCAACCGAAGTTGATATTTTCAAGCTATTTAGGCAAACCAGAAATGGTTTTACAGAAATAGGAAGAGAATTGTCGGTACTGACAGAAAAATTTAAGCATTATGAAAATGTGGTCAAATCATTCCAATGCTTTGATACCTTGCAATCTGTTAAGGATATCCGTGTGTCTAAACGTAAGCGTCATCATAGTCCATCTAAGGAAATTATTGCCGTTGCTCGTCAGAATAATCTTCCGACTGACTTAATTAATCCATCTTCTCCATGTCCTCCAGCATCAGAATCCTCAGCCTCAAAAGAGCGTGTAACGTAATCTGCTTCGGTTAATAACGAGCCTGAAGTATCTTCCCCTTCCCCCATTGAAGTGGTGGCATCATCTTCAAAGCCTCCACCGCCTTCCCTATCCTCAACTACTAACGTAGTAACTCAACCCCTTCCGCCGGTACTCCAGTGTGATACAAGGAAACTAGTTGTGGTTCCGCCAAAGAAGTCAATCTTTGTCTCCAGATTTTCGAGAGACACTACCGAACACGATATAAAGCTTTATATCTCATCAAAAATTACAACTGTCGACTTAAGCATCAGAAAATTTAATTTTAAATACGAAAATTTACGTAAATTTAGATAATTTTAGTGCGCTGCTTAGTAGTTCTTTTGGCCCCCCGGAGCTTTCGTTCGTGAATTCGAATATAGGCCCAAAAAAGGAAATAACTTAGCTAATATTCCCCGTCATAACACTGAATCAAAAAACTAATTATTAAATCTGCTTTAAGTATTTATTACCCAAATGTAAGAGGCTTAAATACTAAATTAACGAACTTATACCTTAAAGGCCTTGAATGTAATTATCATATTCTTTCTTTTACTGAAACTTGGCTGAAACCTCACAATTCAGAGATTCTTCCAAATAATTATCATATCTATAGGCAAGATAGGGAGGACAGAATCGGCGGTGGCGTAATCTTCGCTGTAGACTCTTCAATACCATCTGAAGAAGTTAGTCTTCCACACATTGATTCAGTAGAGATCAAATGCATTCGTGTACAGGCTGGAAAAGGGTCTATTTACTTAGCTCTATGCTATATCCCTCCCCGATCTGACACATTGGTGTATTCACGACTCATCTCTTTACTGAAATCAGTAATATACTGACTAAACCCTCTGACTCAATGATTGTGTTGGGTGATTTTAATTTATCAAGCATATCATGGAACATCATTGACAATGATGTCGTACCTTTCGCGTCTAGTGCGTGGAACAACGTATTTTTAGAGGAGAGTGCTGAACTCTGCCTAACTCAGGTTAATGTACTTCACAATAAGTTTGGTAAAGTATTAGATCTTGTTTATGTTGATGATGCATCTAAGTCCGTTGTAAATAAGCGTGATCCACTAGTTTTGCCCTGTCTACCACCCTGCTATGGAGGTATCTTACGAAGTTATAAGTGATGTTCAAAATTGCAGTACCCAAGCATACGAACCAAATAATCGCTTTGATTTTTCGAAAGCCAGCTTTAAAAAGCTTAACAAAGAACTGTCTAAATTATCGTGGCCTGCATATAAAGAAAATATTGAACAAAGAGTTGCACTTTTTAACTTTACTTTACATAAATTATTTGAAAAGCTTACTTGTGTAAAATCAAACGGCGCATAATATATAACCCCAAATCATTTTATGACTTCGTAAACTCCAAGCGAAATGTACGTGGGTTTCCTTCCGCCATGAAGTATCAAAATACCGTCTCTAGTGATAATCAAACAATTTCTAACATGTTCGCTCTGTTTTTTAAATCCAATTATTCCATTAACTAACATGCTAACATTGACTATCCTTTTAAACTATGTCCAATGAACTCAATAAATATACCAGTAATATCTCCCGATGATGTAGTAGTTTATCTAAAATCCTTAAAGCAGTCCTTCAGTTATGGTCCTGACCAGATCCCTACTTGTATTCTTATAAATTGTGCTGATTATCTCTATGAGCCGTTAACAGCGTTATTTAATTTGTCTCTTAAAGAGGGCGTTTTTCCAACTATATGGAAGGAATCGTTCATAACCCCGTTACATAAAAGCGGTAGCGGATCTTCAGTGGAGAACTACCGGGGAATAGCTAAGCTTTCTGCAATTCCTAAATTATTTGAAGCAATTATAACAAATCAGCTGACGCATTCTATCTCTTCTAGCATTTCATATAGTCAACATGGATTTTGCAAGGGCAAATCAACTTCTACAAATTTACTTGAATTAACATCCTATATCTCAATAGCATTTAGTGAAAGCAAAACTGTTGATGTTATATATACTGGCTTCAGTAAAGCATTTGACAAAGTGTGCCACTCGTTGCTCATCTATAAACTTGATCTTTTGGTCTTCCACCTAATTTTCTACGTTGGATCTCTTCATACCTATATGATAGATCAAAAAGTGTAATATTTAAAAATACAATCTCTGACGTCATTGATGTTACTTCAGGAGTCCCTCAAGGTAGCCACCTAGGCTCGATTCTGTTCTTATATATACAATTTTCCAAAATTTTAATGTATGTAGATGATGTAAAGCTTTATAAGTCGTACTTTTCAATTAAAGAAAGGTCTTTGCTACAATGAGACTTAAACAGCATGGCTTACTGGTGTCAAGTAAATCTTGTGCCTCTAAATCTTAAGAAATGTAAAGTAATGTGCTTCTCGCGAAGAGCTGTTCATCCCGCTTCTTATACAATAGGTAAATATAACCTGGAACAGGTATACAATTTTGTGGACCTTGGTATCACAACGGATCCTAAGCTTAGTTTTAATTTTCATATTAATGTTACAGTCAACAAGGCTAAAGGTGTACTTGCATTTGTGAAACGATGGTCAAAAGAATTTTGTGACCCTTATATCACTAAAACCCTGTTTACAACATTAGTTAGGCCAATTATGGAATACGGTTCGGTGGTTTGGAAGCCAAGGTATCAAATTTACTCAGACAAGATAGAATCAATTCAAAAACAATTCCTACTTTTTGCTTTAAGAAATTTGCGTTGAGATTCTCAATATAACCTTCCACCTTATACGAGCCGATTAAAACTTATTAATCTTCCTACACTTTCCAACCGCAGGCAAATGCTTGATACAATTTTTATAGTTAAATTACTAACAGCCTCAATTTCAAGTCCGCTTCTTCTGGGCGAAGTTAGCCTTAATGTTCTCTCCCGGGTATCAAGACACTTTTGTCCCCTATTTCTGAAAGCTTGTAAAACTAATTTTGAATTGCACGACCCACTCCGTTGCTTATGCCAAGATTTTAACTCTCATTCCAGAACGTTTGATATATCAGATCCGCTTTTCAGCATTAAGAAAT